TTTGTACCCATAACTTATTCAAAACAGATCTTGCAACGTAATCGCTTTGTCAAAGTGAGAATTGTATAGCCTTAAAACAAGTCATATTAAGAATAAAAGATATGATTTTAATCATTATTATATAACAACAAAAACAACACTGATCTTACCTTAAAATTAAGTAAACTTTACATTTATTTCATCAGTCAATCGTCGTGCTCGTAGCCACCCTCGGGCACTCATTCCCACGTATCCGGGCCGCCCTTCAGTTCAAGTGGCACTCAGGCACGTGCGCTGATTTACGTGCAGGGAATGTTTTAATTCACACCTGGCATTTACCATCCCCTTCATAATATTTTTTCGAGTCTCCTCTTCGTCTTCTTGTTCTTCTTCTTCTTTTCCGTTTCGTTTGTTTGTTCGTTTAATTTTTTTTTTCTTCGTTGGCCTTCTACATTTCCTTGGCTTTCTATATCGTCTTCTTTGTATTAATATTTTTTCCTTCCTATTCTTCTTTTGCTGTTTCTTTCTCCTGCTTTTCGTTTCTTCCTATTTTTTTGTTTTCGTCTTCATCATCATCTCCTGCACATTCTCTTCCCTTCATCTTCCCTCCTCTTCTTCCTTCCACCTCCCTCCCCCTGTCCCCCCCCCCCAAGATTCCTTCACCTCCGCCCTCTTCTCTTCCCCCATCTCATCTCCCTCTTTATCATCTCTCCTTCCCAGCAGCTTCGCCTCCTTGTGATTAGGGTGAAGTTGACAGTTTATGAAATTAATGGACATTATTAAACCGGGAGACTCATATTTTCCCTTTATAGTTACGTCTTGTGGGGGGCGCCGCGGGTTCCTTGTCCTTTGTTCTTTTCCCTTTTTGGTTGTAGTTTTATTTCTTTTTTTCCTGTGTTTTTTTTTTCCATCGGTATTTAGTTATACTTTCCGTGTCAATGTTTTTGAAATTGTCGTTTATTTACGTTAGCCTCTTTTGTACCTTTTATTATTATTATTATTGTTATTATCGTCTTCTTGGTTGCCGTTTTTTCTCTTTATATCGTCCATCGTCTTCTCATTATTGTATTATTTTTCTCAATTTCTCCTTCACCGTTTCTCCTTTCCCTTATCCTTTTTTTCCCTCTGTTTTCAGTTTTCCTCCTTCCATTCTTTTTTTTTCTCTCATCTCGCATTTTTCTTACTTTCCCCTTTCCCTCATTTTCCTTGCGATAGGGACGAGAAAATAACGAGACCCGAACGCGCGAGTTATCAAGCCCTGGGAGACCTCTGCCGACGACCAATCATAATAAGAGTTATGATAAAGCCTGTGAAACGCGGCGTTTTTATTGGTCGTTATCATCACCGTGTCACTCGTCAGCGAGGGGTGGGGGTGGGTGGGGGAAGGGGGGGAAAGGAGGCGGATGAGAAATATCGTGAGCAAGACAATAGCATAATCCGCCCTGCTTATTGTTTGTTTTGGTTCGCTTGCCTTCAGGGGGGGGGGGGTTTGTTTGTCTGGCTGTTGTTTTGTATGTTTTGTTTGTTGTTTAGGTGTATTTATTTTTATTCTCTTAAGTTCTTAAGTGGTGAATTGAGATTTGCCTGTGAGGTTTGGTTGCATGCAGGTCTTCGGTATTACATTACGTCTTACTCGTGCCGTACCAGACAGCATCTTAACCAAAACTTCAAATAATTCTTTATGCGATTTTTTTTTTTTTTTGTCCCTCGCACTCGGTATAAAGACCACCCACCTCCTCCATCAGCTCCCTCGGTATCTTCTCATTCTCGGTCTCTTTCTACCTCTCCCTCGCCCTCTTCTTCCTCTCCGTCTCCTTCTCCCTCACCCTTTCCCTTCCCCTGTCATTTTCCTTCTCCCTCTCCCTGACGTTTTCCCTCTCCCTCCCTCCTGTTCCGTCCATATCTTTCGTCATATCATGAGACTAAACCCATTTCAGCCCCTTCCTCACCTCCCCTCACCTCCCCTCCCCTCCCCTCTCCCCACCTCTCGTCTCCCCATCTCCCCCAGGAAGTTGCCAGTGGCTACATGTAAACAAGTAAGCTTCATTAAAATGTGACGACCCTCTCAGCATGCCCCCCTCTCTCTCTCTCCCGCCTCCCTCCTCCTCCTCCTCCTCCTCCTCCTCCTCCTCCTCCTCCTCCTTCCCCCCTCCCCTCTTCTTCCTCACTTTTCACCATCTCCCCTCCCCTCCCCTCCCCTCTTCCTACCCCCATCCTCGCCTTGCTCCTTAGTTCCCCCCCATTCTCTTCCCTTACTTACCTACCTGTCCCCCCCCTATCCCCCCTATCCCCTTCCCCTCTCCCCCTTCCTAGCACCCCCCCCCCCCGCCCCCCACGGAAAGAAAACGCCTTGGAGATTCGAGATAAAATTAATTAGCGGAAGCAAACAGTTCTCATCCTAAGTTCATTATTTTCTCTTGTTCTGTTTGTTCTGACGTTGCCCGGAGTGGTGTGGCCGCGCAGATGGTGTGGAGAGTAAGAGCGAGAGAGCGAGAGAGAGAAAGAGAGAGAGAGAGAGGGGGGGGGAGTAAGAGCGAGAGGGAGAGAGAGAGAGGGGGGGAGAGAGAGAGAAAGAGAGAGAGAGATGAGTGAAAAAATGAAATACAAGATGAAAGTCTTAGAGAGGAAAGACTCTAAAGTAGAAAATATGTTAAGAAAAAGAAGTCATCCAATAATCGAAAAAGGACAACGAAAAGAGAGAAAGAGAAAGAAAAAAATTACGACGACGAAGCAAAGAGATAGGGAAAACGAAATGTTAACGAATGAAAGAAAACGGACAACAGGTACTAAAGAGAGAGAAACGCCACGACAGAAAATATTTTCAAAGAAGTTTCTAGATCAAAGGCACACCTTATCACCCAGTTATGGGATCTGAATGAATCGCAGGGAAGCAAAATGGATCCTATTTACGCAATAATTACAGCACTTCCAGCAGCATAGTGGCGTTATATTAATAGAATAGTCCCCCCTTTGTCTTTATTCTCGTCTCCTGTAATTATTCATTCATCTCTTCGTCCTGTTTTCTTCTAATTTGCTTCTTCGTCATCTTCTCGTATTCTCTTTTTTTCTACGTCTTGGTTCTCTTCTGTCTTCTTTTTTTCTTTCTTCTTCATCTGTTTAGTATTACTTTTCCCCTCCCCTTTTCTACTGTTCATTATCAACTTCTTATTTCTTCATCATCATCATCTCCGTGATCACCTTATTAGCATTCTTCGTCTTTATCATCGTCTCCCCCCCTCCCCCCCATTTCGTTAATGAAGCGCTAGGCGTTATAACAGGTGCCAGTACGTGTCTCATCATCTCATCAGCTGGCGGGGAAGAGAAGACTCAAGATCGAATAAAGAGGGGAAGAGGCAGGGATAAGAAGAGAAAGGGTGGTTAAGGAAAGAGAGGGAAGGTTATGTGAGGGGAAAGGGGAGGGGGGAGGGGGGGTGTAGAAGGTTAGACTCCATTTTCATCCATCTGTGAAAAATATGTATATTTCATCGATCGGTATGCTTACGTAACATTGAAGTTTTTATTCCATGTCGGAAAACTTGGGTCGTGTCGATGAAAGAGCTGTTAACAGAACAGCTTCTGTGTGTGTGTGTGTGTGTGTGTGTGTGCAAGCGTGCTTTTGCATGTGTGCAATAACCAGGATGGATTTTTACAGAGAGAGAGAGAGAGAGAGAGAGAGAGAGAGAGAGAGATAAACGAATAAAAAGGCCGATCCGGCGATTCCCAAACCCGAGTCGCCGGCTGTTAACTGTTCCGTCGAGGGCCCGCTTACCTGGATCTAACGGCCACTTGGACAGATGCCGCAGAGCCATGTTCGGAGGGACGTCGAGGGCCATCTATAAAGGGCTGCAGCAGATATTGGCTCTACGGATGGCATTCGGGGTGAGGTGGGGGGGGGGAGGGGCGGATGTATGTGGGTGGGATGGATGGATAGGTGTGGGGGCGGGATGAGGGATAGGCGTGTTTGTTCAGCGGGGTAATGGATGGGTAGGTGTGTAGGTAAAAGACGATACGTATGTGTGTATGTGTGAGTGTGTGTGTGTCCGTGTCCGTGTCCATGTCCGCGTCCGTGTCCGTGTGTCCGTGTGTGTCCCTACCCTACCGCCTGTGTGTGGGTTGCCAGACCCGATAACACGTACGTGAGAGAATGTCGACATGCCCCCTTTTTCCCTCGCCGAAAGGTTCATCTCGCCGGTATTTTTCCAGCGCGGCGTCCTCAGTCGAGCTTCGGCCCCGATATTGAGAGGACGCTGTGTTTTCACGGTGGCCCGCTGCCGTGGGGTGTCCCGGGCACGTGCAGCCGAGTGTGCGACGCAGCCTCCCACGTTGTCCCGGAGAATCCACATCATCCTATCGCCATGGCAACACTTTCCGTAGTCCTGGCGATCTCTACGGGGTTCTTGCTGTCGGGGTGGAATTAGTCTTTGCTTTTAGGGATTTCTCTCGATCGAGAATTATCTGTAAAAGGAATTTAAAGAAGTCGGTCTCCAGTTATAACTGGGAGAGAGAGAGGGAGAGAGAGAGAGAGAGAGAGAGAGAGAGAGAGAGAGAGAGAGAGAGAGAGAGAGAGAGAGAGAGAGAGAGAGAGAGAGAGAGAGAGAAGGGACAGAGAGAGAGAGAAAAGGGACAGAGAGAGAGAGAAAAGGGACAGAGAGAGAGAGAGAGAGAGAGAGAGAGAGAGAGAGAGAGAGAGAGAGAGAGAGAGAGAGAGAGAAAGAGAGAGAGAATGAGAAATTATAAACCAAAATCTGAGGAGAGTCATGAATCGCAATCAAACAGCCGAACTATTGGCATCTGTCGTGTCGAACTTGGCCTGTCAATAGGAGGACGCAACCTTGAAGGAGGCATCGATCATTCACGGTCCGTTCCGCGTTCCTTCCTGATAAATAGTCTTATTGAACGAGGACCTCTGTGTCGCTCCGTCGTTCCCTGGATGGAGAACTTCAATTCGCTGCGGTGTTGTCGCGTTCTCTCTCCTTTTTCTTTTCCCGCTTTTCTGTTTTATTTCATCGAGCTTCCTGGCCATGTTGTATTCCGATGAATATTCTGTATGGAGACGAAATTCACCTAATCTAACGACTGCCATTAGCGACGTGATCACCAGGCGTTTGCAGGCGGGACGAAACCGCGAGTTTGCGTGCGATGAACGACAAGGCAGCGCAAGCGAGCGGCGGCGTTCAATTATTCAGCACGTTCTTATAACCTCCGAAGTGCCTAGGAACGGCGCGTCCCCTCGGAGGACTTGTAGCTCACCTAATATCGAGTTGTTTATCAGCTCGAATGGGGGCCAGGTATAAGTGCCTGACGAGGTATATGACCCTTGGGTGTTATTAACGCAGGATTGAAGGGAAGAGGGAAGGAAGGGGAGGCGAGGGCGGGGGAAGGAAAGGGAGAATGAAAGGGAGAATGAAAGGGGTGAGAAGAGCATCCCCGAGGGAGAAGGGAAAGGGAGGAGAGGGAGAAGGGTAGACGCTTGAGGAAGAGGAGGGTGCTGGGCGAGAACAGTCCGAAAATATGCCGTAGTAATAGTGCCGCGACGTGGCACGAGCGGTGGCATTGGCGACGCCTCGATCGTGGCACTGAGAGAGGTTGCGTAACGATCGCAGCGAAATTTAAAGACGTGGGCGTCCAGGTGCCACCAGGGGGAGGGGGGGCAGGCATCAAGACGACGTGCGAAGAGGACGAGGGAGAGGGGAGCGGAGGCCGGGGTCGGAGATCTTGGCACCGGTGCAAGAGGGCGTCTAGGTGGCACTGTGTTTTAGGCTTGAGGATAAAAGTAAAGAGGAGAGAATGGCAGGATAAGAACAGAGGGATGGAGCCAGAAGGGAAGGGATGTTTGGGCAGGGAGGGGGGGGGTAAGGGGGAAGGCTTATTGATCACCAACGACCCCCATTTTCCTCCTCCCCTACCACTCCCTCCCTCCCTCCCTCCCACCCTCCTCCCACCTACTCCACTAAGGGCGTTGGAGGCGTCATAAGAGAGCCATGGCACTGGCACTTCCCTGTGACTGTACTTGTTGCATTTCGACGAGGGAGGTTGTTCAGGATATTTTCAAAGTCACTTTTCTTCTCCTTTCTACCTTTTTTTTGTCCTTCTTTACCTCATCATGGTATTATTCCATGTTTCTGAAATCTTCTACTGGAAAAGGAAATAATAATAAATACTATGTTTGTACAATGTTGCCATGACAATGTAAAATGTTAAAAGCATATAAGATTTTACGATCCCAAAAGGCCATAACGGTAGACGGACCAGCACCATTTTTTTAAACTTCACTTTTAGTCACTTGTTTATGAAACCGAAATCATCACCGAAACTTTTTTTTCGTAGCTGCAAAAAATATATATTTTTTCTTTCCTTTTTTTCTTTTGTGTTCCTCTCTACTTTTCATAACCGTAGAAGGAAATAGATAGACTTATAGAATAAAACCATAGCAAAGTTAAATAACACGAACATAGATGTTTATTCTTAACGAGAGAAGAGTCGCCCCGAGGACAAATAGTTATCTCGGAGGAAAGAGTCGGCCATAAAGACAATAAGGAGCCAGCCAGCGATAACAGAGGACCCCACGCCGAGAACAAAAGGCCCTGGAAATATAAGATGGACCCCACAGAGAAAACTATTGGGGTACGGGGTGGCAAGAAGTGGCATGCCCCTCCCAGACGATCGCCTTTAAGTGTGAGTGCCTCCGCAGTGCCTCGGCCGCTCACCCTGGCGCCAGAGCAGAGGAAGTGTCTAGGCCTATGGATCTTTTTTTTTTTTCTTGGGAGGGGGGAGGGGGAGAGGGGGATGTCTAAATGATACACATATATATCAAGTGCGGCAGTAAAAGCTAGATGGAATGTTCTTTTTGTGTTCATCTCCCCTCTCCTCCGACTCTCTCTTTCTCTCTCTCTCTCTCTCTCTCTCTCTCTCTCTCTCTCTCTCTCTCTCTCTCTCTCTCTCTCTCTCTCTCTCTCTCTCTCTCTCTCTCTCTCTCTCTCTCTCTCTTGCTGCCCTCGAGCTGTTAATTTTCCCTCGGTTGTTTATTGCTCAAAAAAAAAGAAGAAAAAAAAAAAAGAATACACATATATAAGAAAAAATAGAGAGACGAGAATGAAGAGAGGGTCGTGGTCGGTTGGAGGGGGGGGGGGGGGTAGGTCAGGGGGGATGAAATTGTTTCCCCTCCAGAGTCTCAATAATCCTTTCCGCTTTCTTCACTCTGCCCAGATACCCTCCTGCCCTCCTCCTCCTCTTCCTCCTCCTCCTCCTCCTCCTCCTCCTCCTCCTCCTCCTCCCCCCCCCCCCTTCCTCCCTTTTCCCTTCCACTCCCGTCATCTTAAGTCCTTCTGGTCTACTCCCTTTCCCTTCTCTCTCTTCCTTTCCCTCCCCTCTCCTCCCTTCTCATCTCTCTTCCTCAGTTCTCCTCGTTCTACCTGTTCTCTCGAGTCCCTCCCCCTTCCCTCTCCCACTCCCTCCCTTCCCCTCCCTCCAATCCTCCCTCCCGCACCTCCCTTCTCTCTCCCCTTCCTCATTTTTTTCCTT